CTGTTTGGGGTTATTTGCTTGTGGGGTTTGTTTTTTTGTTTAGCTTTTGGGGGTTTATAATCCGGAGATGTGCGAACATCTGCGAGAATCCTTTCAGAGCGAGACCAGTCCTCCGGCATGAAGCAAGCCGCAGTGCGCGCATCGCAGTTTCATGGCGACAGCACATCACCTGCACAAGGCAGGGCCCCCTGCACCTTTACAAACATCGCCAGACCACTGACAATTCGCCGCATCGCCATCTTGCCATGCCTTCACCTCGTTAGCCAAGGATGCTCTGCCACGCCTTTTGCCCGTTTAAGGTCTCGGGTTGGGATATTCCCCCTTGTATTAACAGTCCTTAATCGGCATTCGATTACCCCCTATGATAATCCCTATGAAGGACTGTTCGTAGAAGGGGGAACATCCCAAGGAAGTCTCAGGTCTCCTGCCATGGGTCTTAGGAGTGGGGCTACTCCCCATCAAGATCCGGCCGCCACGAAGCACATTTTGAAGCAGGGCAAAACTACCAATGCCAAGTCAGCTCACCTTTCTGCTCTCTTTTTGGGCAACCCGAGACCTACAACTCTTGTTGAGCTTTCTACGACACCTGTTAAGAGGTTGAGGGGATTCAGACGAGGTCGGACCTTGGGGCACATTCCACGAAGGCTGTTGCGCCCACCCCGGGCGCTATCCATCAAAGAGGGTTTAGGCTGACGGTTTCTACGGCTTAGAGCCCAAGGCCGGAAATCCCCAACTTAACCCTGCAGCCGGACTTCGGATTCGTGGTCAGATGATGATGGATATCTACTGGATCTACTGTAGCTTAGCTTGTCATCATCCCTAAACCTTAAACCCTAAACCCATAAACTGCGAAGCTTCAGTCTGTTGTGCCAGGACCTTTTCGGCAACAACCGCATCCCCACAGCATCTTGCGATGACTGCAGCAACGTGGACCCTGACCGGTCTGCCTTCCAAGCCTTTACAATTTCGGGTGGCTACTAGAGGCTTTATGGCAGTGTAGGCTTCCGCCCTAAACCCTGAACACTAAACCCTGAACCTGAAGCCCTAAACCCTAAACCCTCAGCCCGAAACCCCCAAACCCCAAAACCCCAAACCCAAAACCCAAAACCCTCAACCCGAAACCCCCAAGCCCAAAACCCGAAGCCCAATGCCAGGCCGTCGGATGCCTTTTCCGGCTCTGCGGATTTCTGGGAGCTGTGGACACCCTCCGGGCCAGCGGCCACAGCTTGGAATGCTTTCCTTCAACCCTCTGCCCTAAGCCCCAAAAACCCTAGACCCTTCAAACTCTGGGGAAAAAATGATGCTCAGCTTGCTTCTCGAGAAGTGCTGAACTCCAAAGTGAAGCAGGTGATGCCAGAAGTTCCTGAAAGTTTGTTTTCAAGCAGTCTTTGTCTTGGAGCTGCACATGCTTAGAGAGCCCCGACAGCTTCTCAACCCTACGTAGCTTGAGGGTTTGGGGAACTTCCGTGCTGCTGAGGCAGGGACGGCCGCTGGTCATGGACTGTGCAGGCGAGCTCAGCGGCACGGAGTTCGAAAAGTGACCCTGAGCCCAGGGCCCTGAATCCAGAGCATCATCGACTTGCCCTACTAGGAACTGCTCCTAACCAAGCAAGTCCTGACATCCAAAGTGCGCCAACCCCTGTGACTCAATGCTAGAATGAGTCAGAAGAGGAAGGCGGAACTTCGGGCTTGCATAAGAAGATGGCAGGGTCGGATGTGCCAAGAAATGGCGAGGGGAAGGAGTCGGTTTACTCTGGCCGTGCATTCGAGTCCAGGGCACCCTACCTGGGCAACACTGCGAGCATTTGGACTTGTGGCTTTGGGGCGAAGTGCCGGGCCTATCTCCAGGTGCACCGCCACGGGAGAGCTACTGCAGCACAGAAGGCCCTGCGTCCTTCCACCTCCACAGGGTTAGGGTTTAGGGTTTAGGGTTTAGGGCTTAGGGTTCAGGGTTCAGGGTTCAGGGTTTAGGGTTTAGGGTTTAGGGTTTAGGGTTTAGGTACAGGGACAAGGTATGACGCAGTGGCGGGTTCAGGGTGTCGTCTTCTTGGTCAGCCGAGCACCCATTGTGAAACGCTCAATCATCATATCCCCCCACCTCAGAGCCGTTCCAAATTTCCTCCAGTCCTTGTTTCAGGAGCACACTGAACGGGGCAAATTGTCTGATCGGGGGGGCTTCCTTAGGACTTGTGCATACGTGTATCTTTGTTATGGTGTTGTTCCAGGGGTGATCCCGGCGGTATCAATTCGGCTCAGGTGCTTTGAGAGACAGGGGGGTGTCTTGTGCATGCGGTCAGCGCCAAAAGGGCCGAAGCAGGCACCACCAGCACGACAACTGCAACATGGACGACTACCGCAACACGCACTGCAACAAGCACCTCGCCGGAATGGGGCCGTGCGATTATCCAAGATGTTCAAGTGATGTTTTACAGGTGTTTAGATGTGGTTAGGGTTCTGCTGGGTTTTAGGCTTCGTTCGATTGATTCTACGGGGGCCGAGCACAGGTTTCCATTCCCGCAGTCGCCCAGGTCAGACAGAGGCAACGCTACCACCTGATCCAACAAGGCAAGGGGCGCTATCACCCGCTATCACACTCTTCAACAGTAGTGAACCTTTGCGCTTTCGCGCCGAAGTCAGTTCGCAGCCAGGCTGCATGCGGCAATGCGGCCTTCACCCGCGTAGTTTTAAGAGATCAGGCTTATCTGTTGGGCTCAAGCCTTCAGGCATCTTGGACACTTTCCATGGACGCCCTAGCGATCTTAGAGCAGTTGGTGGGTGAGTACAGTGGATTTGGAACATTGTCTTTGTGCCCATTCGAACCCAAAAGGCCACCGAAGCCTCAAACTTGGACCCCAACGAAACAGAATGCAGATGACCACCGACCCCTCGCTTCGCCGCGCAGTTCCATGGCAACCTCTTTGACTACCACTACCACAACTACCACGACTACGACCACCACCACTACGACTAGCACAAGCACCTCCGACAACGCCCGAGCATCAGGCCGGTTAAAGCTTGCGAGATGTGCCCGTTACTCTTTTGGGAAGCAGGTTGAGGCTTTGCATGTACTGGTGTGGATTCTAGCCGCTGACGTGTAATTGTCTCCAGGAGAATCCACACTGACTGGGGGAATTGGTATTCTAGGACGTGAGTTAAAGCAGCTGCTTGAGCTACAGCTCGTTTCAACCAGTATCTCTGCCCAAGACGAGAAGGAGAATTGACTGATTTCAAGGCTTTGTTGAAGGCTTTGCTGTATTCTTAACACAGTAGTGGGGGTCTGGGATTGTGGATGCTCGCCCATGCCAATTCTGCAGCTTGCTGTGCGTTAGGGCAGGTACGTTGGCTTGCAGAATGAAGACGGGTACTGGCTCAAAGGAGAAGGAGAGCACCCGGGCCCCAAAAAATGAGGAAAGTGATAGTCCGGCGTGTCAGAAACTGTCATGCAACAGTAGTACTACCATGAGGCCAGGATTCAAGAGGAACGGCACTAATCCTACACAACTTCGAAGGATAGTGTAACTCAGAGTCAAGAGGAACGCTCTCACTACTCAGCTTGGTCACACTGGCAACGCAAGCGGTCGCTTAAGGCAACCAGAGACATCGAGGGCTAAATCCTATAAACGACAGTGCCGCAAGTCGTAGTTAGGCTCCACAAAGATACACTTGGACCCTGTGATACTACGGGTTTGAATTACTGGCCCTAAAAACTGGGACCCTGTGATACTACGGGTTTGAATTACTGACCCTAAAGCCCCTCCTACAAACCAAGATCCCAATACCCAGAGGCACCAGCACATCCTCTGAGTCCTGGTCCAGCTCAGCACCTCAGGTGTGATTTGCGGGTTTTCGAGAAAAGGAGGGGGTCGCTGATTTGGGGGGTCCCTCTTACAGGGGATTCTATTCTATTTGGGGGATAAAAGGTGTACCCCTGTTTTGGGAAATACCTTTTTGGGGGTTGCGGAGCTTCTGGAGTCCTTATCTGAAGCGGAGCCTTGTATGTACTTTGCCCAAAAGGGGCCATAGTTGAATTTTGCTGCCCATCGAGGTTGTCCATAGATGCTGCTTGTGGGGGTTGCAGTGTTGTAGGCTATGGGGCAAGAGAAATTCAAGGATCGCAGCTACTGTCCTTGACTGGACGTACTCCTTCGCCTTCTCCAGCCTATGTCTTCATTCTGGCAATGCAACTGACAGCTCTTAATGTGTGAGTCATACAAAGCCAGTCTTTCTTTCCAACATCATGAACTCTTGAATGCTCTTCTACCCTGGAGCGCTCACTTAGAGCTTAGGACCTGTAACCTGTAGGGGGTTCAGTCCTTTCGTCCGCCAGACATCGACGTCCTTCCCGAGCTGGATGGCTGAGATGTCCATGGGCTGCGGCAGCAAGGCCCACAGAAGCAGAGTGCTCTGCATGTTTTCAGGACATGCCCAACGTTTTCAGGGCTTCAGGATGGTCATTTTTCTTAGGATGTAGAACGTGAGGATGGTTTTGGATTTGGGGGTTCGGGTTTAGGGTTCAGGGTTTAGGGTGTATAGGGCTTGGGGTTTAGGGTTTGGATTTAGAAAGGTTTAGCAGTAGCCCCCTTTGGCCAGGAGTGCCCTTTCCGCACCGCGATGGAGGCGGGCTCAAGTTGCGTTTTGCAGACCGGCCCCTGGAAAGAGGCTGTTTGTTTGTGGGGAATGAGGGAATGAGTGTCCTATCTAATCCCTTAAACGGGCCCTATAATTCCCTCATGCCCTACTAAGAATCAGGGAGGAAAGAGGGCTTTCGGGTCTCAGGGCTGTCCAGGGATTTCCGGGTTTATGGGTTCAGAGATTCTTCCTCACATCAGGATGTCGTCAGGCAGATGCACCACCAGATGTCCATACAGCTTCTCGGCTGCGGTGTGCATAGCGGTCGCAATTACCAATGCTACTCGAGCCTCGTGCTGCCCCTCCTGCACATCACTCCATGTTGCAGTGAGTCGGCACAGCGTTGTTATCCACTACTCGTTGCAGCTAAGGTTCACATGCGATCCTGACGTCGATTTCGTCCGTGGCATGATCCCGCATCATGAGGCCCACTCCGCAGCAGTTCCGATGCCCGAAGTCGCAGAGTAGACACGGCCCACAGCGTTCAGATGCTGCTCTCCTTCCATCTTCATCTCCCTACCCAGCCATGGCATATGAATAGGTTGGGTTTCGTTCACAAGTGCTCCATGATGGCGATTGCTCCCAATCATGCTGTGGGAAATGTCCTCGAGCCTAAGCTGAATCTGCAAGGGAGCCGTGGCCATGTGCGCAGCCCTGGATCAGTCGCAAAGTTGGCTGGAGGCATCAGGGTACATGCACGGAGCTTTGTGTGTCTGACTCTCTGTGTCTGTGTCTCTGTCTCTGTCTCTGTCTCTGTCTCTGTCTCTGTCTCTGTCTCTGTGTGTGTGTGTGTGTGTCTGTCTGTGTCTCTGTGTCTGTAAATCAAATAAACTGTGTACACATACCTTGCTTGGCCACTTATGCTCGAGTCTGCATTCCGAACTTTGCACCTTCCAGAGGATCCTTGTCTCAGCACCATATGAAGACAGTGCCCCACATCAAGATCAGATAAATGCATGTGCGAGGGCATTGTTTGGAGGGAGCGCCTGTGAAGACGTGAGCCTTGCTTAGTCCATTATCCCCAAACTTCTAAATACAAAAACCCTAAACCCTAAACCCTAAACCTTAAGATTGGCCCCCCCCAGAGCCCGAATCTGAAGAGTCTGCAGGTGGGACTCGTCCACTTTTGCTACCATGTGGCCTTAGAGCAGACGTGGGAGGTGTCAGCTGAATCCGAGTGAAGAGTTGAGGGAAGCCCTAAACCCTAAACCCTAAACCCTAAACCCTAAACCCTAAACCCTTCATGTGGGCTCGGGAGGTCTGTAGGATGGGTTCCGGGAGAGACGTGGCTGGAAGTTTCGTCTCTTCGCCTTGAAGAGTGGCACCCCCCCCCTCTCGGATCCTCAGGAGTTGGAAATGGGGGCCTCAAAACCCTCGCCTGAGGAACCTCAATTCCCTCCTAGACCACCCTCAACCCTAGCTTTGAAGTTTAGCGACCCTTACTGGGTGTTGGAGTACTATACTTGAAAGTGTTTTTGTTTCTGGGTTCCTATTATAGCAACGTATACGTAAATAGTATATACTGTACCGTTTAAAGGGTCTACTCCAAAGTAGGGCTTATAGGCCTTCGGACTTCCTCGTGTCCAGGCATCATCCCTCTTCAAGACCTCTCCCTGCGATTCTTTGTAGAGGGGGCTCCCCTGTTCAAAAAATCGGAGGTCTCCATGAGACTCAGGTCTGAGGTTTTTGTTAGGGCCTGACTTCCATCGTGCTTGAGGGGCTTCCACTAGGGATTGAGGGCTTCAGGGTTCAGAGGAGGCCTCGAGGCTCTGAGGATTTCAGGGGCCCGCCCTTCAACACCACGCAGGTTCAGGGAATGCAGCGCTGGCTGGATTCGCGGAATCTCACAGCCGGCAAGGTGCATTGGGGTTTACTATATTCGGGGTACGTGGAAATATTATTTTCAATTTTTGGGTTTTAGAATTCCTAAGAAACAGCATAAACATTCATGTTTGCCAGGGTTCCAAGTTCAGTATAGTTTAGAGTTTCGGGTTTAGGCTTCAGGCTTTAGGGAGACGAGGGCCCGAGTTTGTTTTAATATCAAGGTATGCATGGGCTCTTAGACTTGCTACTTCTACCCCGAGCACTGCTACCTAAAGACTCCTGACTCCCCATCCTTCTCTGAGACCCCCCCCCCCCCACCCTTCGACGTCCGATTGCAGGATTGGCTGTGCATGGTAGGTTTTGGGATTCGAAAGACACTCCGGAACCTCCCACAATAGGCAGTTGAGTGCTCACTGACCCCAAAGGACAGAGAGAGAGAGAGAGAGAGAGAGAGAGAGAGTGGGAGAACCAAAAAAGAAAGGCGTGTACCGACGGCCTTAGCTGCGGAGACCTCACTTGCACTTCCTCACAGGCAAGCCTGCATGTCGGTTTTTGGCTGCCGCCGGTGCTTGCTCTGAAATGAAAGCACTCAAAGCAGACAAGATGCGCCTGTCGCTTGTTCAGGGGCTTGTTCTATGGTCAGCCCTTGCGTACTGGCAGGCATACTTGGCTGCCAACCGTCGCATGCACGAGGCTGCAGCCGACACTCTCGGGGAGACCTGGAATCGTCAGCAACAAGGGCCACTGCGCTAGGGTCACTTCGGGGTCAGGGCATACCGCACGGCAATTATGGTTCGGAATCCTAGCACGTCAGCGGACAGGCACCGAGTTTTGTGCTAACACGGGTACGCATATTGGAGCCGGCATGCTCTAGCAATGACATCTAGTCTCCGCGGGCGAGAGCATCTCTGCGATGTCTCTTCCCAGATTGGGTTTCTACTGGGTGACGGTTTTCCAGGCCATGACCATCGAATACAGCTGCCGTGCTGAGGAGGAGTGCCCACCATCCTAAACCCTTACCCCTCAGCCCTAAACCTTAATCTCTCTAAACCCTAAACTCTAAACCCTAAACCCTAAACTGTACCCGAAGCATCCCCGTGGCTCTCACCTCATGCCAAGAGCAGCTGTTACTACCCAGGACTTCGTGCAGGCGATGCTTCCGCACCACCAGGCCAATCTGGGTTTAGGGTTTAGGGTTTAGGGTTTAGGGTTTAGGGTTTAGGGTTTAGGGTATAGGAATCCTAGTTGTGATACCTCTGGTTCAGCCTGCAGACTTGACTAGTGCAAGTGCTTGAAATCAGTGTGGACTTCACTGGCGCACCAAGGGTGCAGTCGAGATGTGCGCCATTCTCCTGGAAAGTGAATCGCAGGATGCGCGCCTTGGCACGTGTGTATTTCCCAAACAAGGGTCCCCGCCTTAGAAGCCCCAAAGAGCACTCTCCCCAATGTTGGGGAACCCCCATGCAGTGAGCCCCACATTCTGAGAATTGGTTCTTCAAGTATGTTCAAATGTCGCTGTATGGGAAAGAGGTATTTAATTTACCGTGTCGGAGTGAGCGCCACTTGCTCCAGCAAGTGCATGCAGCAGCCAGCTAAGTTAGAGTAATCCCTGGAGCCGCCGAGCTCACCTTCTGTAATCAGGCTGTAAGAAGAGCAGGGGGGCTAAGCCTTGGGATCAGTTCGCTCAGGTACTTGCGCGACTTGTGCCCGGAGCTCAGGTCACCTTGTTCGATGGGGCTGTGTATGAGCCCTTGCGACGCAGTGCAGTAGAGAGGCCTCGGCGTGTGACATGTCTGTATTTCTGTTGCAAGGTGCCAACATCACCAGGCTGCAGACAGCGGAAATGTCGTGGATGAAGGCCGCGTCCAGGTTCTTCATATAGGAATATTCCTAAAGCCCTTTTCTAATGATTCACATTGTTCTGAATGCAGCTTCAAGGCTGGGCGCTCAACGTAGGTTTCGCAAGTGTGACAAGTGTGGCGTTCGCTCGAAGTTAGCCTCAGCACGCGCAGGAATGGCTGGCCTTCAAGGCTCGGTGGGACCTCTGCATACCACAGAACGCCCCGTAAGGCACACATGGAAAGCCTGAAGGCCTCCCCGTGTAGCCTCAGGTCACAAACCTGTCACAACAGGAACTTCTCAAACCGAAAGACGCGGTTTGCAGATGATGCTTTGATGGTAGGGTGCCTTTGCTTCAGGAATCGAAATTCTTTGATATTCACACGCAGCAAGGCATAGTAGTCGTACATGAGATGATGCAGAGAGTCAGAGAGGGAGTGTGTGTTTGATGGACAATGTTCTGCCATCAAGATGGCCCCCCATAGCCATGGAACGGGCAACGCAGAGTAAACATGGGACGTGCGTGCCCTTCGGGGCAGCTCCCCTCGCGGGGGCCAAGCGCATGGAGAGAGAGAGGGAGTGTGTGTGTGTGTAGTTTAATAGGGAGAGGAGAGAAGGAGAGAATCAGCAAGCAGAAGATTCGGAAGAACGGCTACTGCTTGCAGGGCCTCGCCGACGCACAGTGCCATGGCAGCTCCGATTCTGCAGTGCCTTGTGCGGAGCGCTGTGGGGGGGGGGGGGGGGGGGGGCAAGGGCGGGACCAGGGACAAGATGTAGGGTGTAGGTAAGATTAGGGTTTAGGGTTAGTTTAGGGTTAAGGGTAGGAGGACACATGTGACCAGCATCAAACGGTCGCGGCAGCATCCTGTCCATACGTCAGACTTTTGCAGCTGTTCTCGGCCACTGGTCTGTCATACCTGAAGCCTGAGAGGGCTTACAGTCCATGCACCTCAACCGGGATGATTGTAGGATTCATCATTCCAGTTTTAGGGTTCATTCGGTCTCCACGGGCATCTCTGAAGCTGTGGTGCTCTTGATGTCCTAGATTTTGGTAGTTCGAGTCTAGGGCGCCGTATGTAATTCCATTGGGAGACCGGGGTGAAAGGGTTCAATTAAGATGGTTCAGGATGCCGTGGAGGATGGGTGGAGTGTTGTTTTGAGATTTTCCTTCTGGTCAGATTTCGGCCCGCTTTAGTAGTTTCAGCCATACTGCCATTCAAGCTGACAGATCACACACCACTTCGCTAGCAATTGGGCACCACATGCCGCGAGGGAGGCGCGTGATGAGAAGGTAGGATTCGGGCAAGAATTCACAAGCCCACTGGGCTCATGTAGGCTTAACTTCGAGTGCCTAAGGCGAAAGGCACAAAGACGAAGCCGTTACAGAAGGTTTCAGGTCGTCGCGCTTTGTTAGCCTCGGGGCCCATGTCTTGCTTTCTGGACTATGGACTTCTTCATGACATGGCCTGCTGTAACTGATAGCACACCCCCGAACACTCTTGTAAGAGAAGCAGAAGATCACAACCTGCAACCGATGTATCATCGCCTGCAGGATATGATGCCCATCACTGACATTTGCCACGTGACTGGGCTGCAAGCAGCTAAGAAGAGCACAACTCGCACGCAGCACAAGGGCAATTGCGCTTCCCAGCGGAGATTCCGGCGTCAGGCGCTCCGTTCAAGAGCATAATGACTAAGAGGGGATGTTGTGTCAGGGTATCAGGATTTCCGACCCTGCAAGACGAGACCATCTTATGCCCAACACCTGAGCCAGTCCTTTGAGTCCTTGAGAAACCACTTCAACTGGGTAGTCCAAACTCGACACGACAGCTTCCTTGCTCTTCGAGGATTTGGGCGGAGATCGTCTTTGCGATTGCTCTGAGCTGGCGGACTCATGCAGTAGCATCGCTTCCGCTGGTGGCAGGCGCCTCCCACTCGTCCCGGTCGTCCCGCTCCGGCTCTGTCTGCTGACACATAGAACTGCAGCGCATCGCTACACCACGATCGCCATCACAACAAGGGATCACTAGACTCAGACGGACCAGCACCATGACCAAAGCCAGCTTTTGGTGTGTGTGTGTGGTAACGCTCAGAACTGCTGCTCTTTACCAGTTGTCTAGTCCAAATCATAGTCCCCACAAGCCACGCTGCAGTGCCTAGAAATGCTGTACGACCTTTCGCACGGCAATGTGTCCTGCTCTATTTTTCGATGGTTGTCCTTGACTATGCTCTTGGCTTTCTTTTGATGCTCTACAACAAGCTCCATATTGCACACCACAGGGCAGGTAGGCTGCCCTGCTTGTTTTCGACTGCGATGAGAAGCCTGACACCGAATTCTAGTCCCAAACTCCTGCAACCTCACACCCTCGTCCCCGAAACCCGTAAACCGCGAATTCTGAACAACCCTATCTCCAGCTTGCACGCTACTTCCTGCGGTGCAGGCGCTTTGCAGTTAGTGCGGACCTCAGGGCATCTCTGTGGGGCTTCAGCTCATTCAGGGTTTTCTCGGGTCTAGAGTCTATAGGGTTTCGTGCAGCCTGGGCTGAATTGCTGGAGTTCGGGGTTCCGGCGCGACAGTCTGGCGGGCTCCTGGGGTTCTGAGGAAGTTAAGACCGGCAGGGAGCTTGCAGAAAGTCGCAGAGGAAGGCCAGCAATTCCTGGTAAGATAAACACTGCTGGAAGACCTTTTTTGGTTGTTCTTCAGGCATCGTGGAGTGGAGGCCTTTTAGGTTCTTTCTAACTACCAGCACACCCCTTTTTGGTAAGGGTTTCGGCTTAGGGCTTTCAACTCCCTGTGTCTCCTCTTGGGGCTTTGGGTTTCTGGCTCCCTGTAGGGTTTTGGATATTTCTAGGGCTTCTACCTCAGTCACTCCCTTGCCTGGGCCTACAAACTCCCTGTATCTCGGCATTTCAAGCTTTTTGCTCTCGGCTGTTGCCATCACCTTTTTTCTAGAATTGATGGCTTTCTCCCCAAACTATGTAAAATGCCGGGACCGCTTAAAGATGGCCGACCGGCGAAGGGGGGCGGGCCGCACAAGGGTTTAGGGTTGAAGAACGC